GGATGCATGGGGATTTGGTTGTAGCCAGAGTATGCATCCATGAAGCTCAACAACTCGTGTCCGGCCGTGGAGTCTACCAATTGGTCAATCCTTGGAAGTGAAAAGCTGTCTTTCGGGCAAGCTCTATTGAGATTGGTAAAGTCGATGCATACCCTCCATTTGCCATTGTGTTTCTTAACCAGGACTGGATTGGAAACCCACCTCGGATAGGTGGCTTCCCTGATGAAGCCATTTTGGATGAGCTTTTGAACCTCTTTCTTCAGGGCCTCATACCTCTCAGGTTGAGGGCTCTCCTTTTTTGTCTATGCGGGGCAACTTTAGGATCAATTTTCAAGTGGTGGCAGCTGACCTTGGGGTCAATGCCCACCATGTCCTCATGCCTCCAAGCAAAGATGTCAAGGTTCTTGCCTATGAAGTCCTTAATCTTTTCTCTCAAAATGTCGGATAGGCCTTTGCCTACCTTCAGTACCTTGGAAGGGTCTCGAGGGTCGCGGAGAAGCTCTCAAGTTCCTCTACAGGGGATGCTTGAGGCTCATGTTCCATTATGCGGGGGTCAATCTCATCAATGATCAGCACCTCCGAATTAAGTGGCGCGTCAATCATATCAACATCTTCTTGTTCAGTGGGAGCGTCACCTGGGACATCCGCCATGACCACATCAGCCATGATCACGTGGACATCCCGTGGCTCTACCTTCTTAATGGAGCTTAGATAGCCCTCTCCCGAGCCTCTCTGGTCGCCTCTCACCGTTACCACCCTATTTTCTGTCGAGAATTTCATGCATAGGTGGTGGATGGAAGTGACTGTTCCCAATTCCTTTAGGGCCGGTCTGCCAAAGACTCCGTGGTAAGCCGATCGACTATCAACTATGAGGAATTCCATGAAGTTCATCGTAGTTTGAGGAGACTCTCCCATTTCCACTGCCAGCGTTATCTTTTCCCTCGAAATGATGCTATCTCCGGTAAATTCGTACAATGGAGTGGTGGTGGGTGTCAACTGATGGTCCAATATCATTTTGTCAAAGGCGGACCCAAACAGGATGTTGACGGAGCTGCCATTGTCGACTAGCATTCGTTTGAGCCCATTCCGGGCTATGACAGCCCTCACCACAAGCGCATCGCAATGGGGGTAATGAACTCCTTCGGCGTCTTCCTG